CCCCAAAACCCCAAAACCCCAAAACCCCTAAAAAATCCGCTAAATTGATAGAATTTATCAAAATTACAAATGGAGGAAATCAGTGTGACAAATCTTAATGTTGACAAGAAGGTGAAGTCAAGTCTTCAAGCTAGTGGAGTTACCACTTTGGCTGATATTGAGGAGGTCAATTTTGATAAACTGTATGAGGAGATACCTCCAGCCGAAATTGTCAAGATACCAGAAATACTTAATGATGTTAAGGGAATCTCGGATCATTTTAAGAATTTACTGCAGAAGCAGCCGGTGATTGCTAAAAGAAAGACACGTCAGGCTATTAATCTAATCAGGTTACCTGATCAAGATCCTGACGAACTTGAGGAAGACCCATTTCTGGATGCAGTCTTTGGTCTTGGGGAAGTTACTGAGATTGTCGGACCCTCTGGTTGCGGCAAAGGCCAAATTGGCTATCAGTTATGTCTCAACGTTCAAACTCCGAAGGAGCTTGGAGGAATAGAAGGAGAAGCACTCTATTTTGACGCTAATGGCGATTTCTCAGCAGAAAGACTTCAAGAAATGGCGAAATATTATCGCAAAAAGCTGATCAAATCTCTTGGAAAAGATAAAGAACTAGGAGAGAAACTGAAAGAAGAATATACAGAAGAGGAGATCCTCAATAGAGTTTATTACTTCAGAATATTAGATGAGGATGATCAGATTCAGTCCTTTTTCATGCTAGAAAAGATTCTGGAGACCCATAAGAATATTAAATTGGTATACTATGATCCTATCACAATTCATCCAAGTAAGAATGAGAAGCCCTATCAGGAAAGGAAAAGAATGGTTAACAATATGCTAGTGCACTTTCTTAAATTAGCTAAGAAATTTCAGGTTTGATTTGTGCTCACTAATATCCTCAAGAGTGTAAGGAAATATGGCAAGGAACAAAGTGAGAATATCACAAGATTAGAACCCAACTTCGGAGAAATCTTATTTCAAAGTTGAACTAATAGAGTTCATATCGATAGAGATTCAAGGATAGGAGAAGATGTATTCAAAGCTACTCTAACTAAAGGTAGCATCTATTACGAGCGTACGAAAGAGTTCCAAACCCATTTTCAGGTGAAAGAAAGTGGAATTGCCAGTATTTTAAGTTAATTTCACTATTTTCTACAAAAAATATATCAAAAGGGGTTTTGGGGTTTTGGGGTTTTGGGGTTTTGGGGTTTTGGGGTTT